AAGTTGGAGAAAGGAAAGCAGAGCCCCTAGCTGATCCAGTCTGCAGGTCTTGCTCGCTAGCCCAAGCACTGAAAGAAGGTAAAGGGGTAAAAGAAGGGTATTTTCCAACTTGCCTAGAGGTAAAAACATCCAGAATTTTAAGGTTGACAAGTCTATAAGAAGCATATTCCTTTTCTAAAGGTCCATTCTGTGCATTTGAGTTTGATTCCTAACAAGCCAGTCTCTCCTATCTCCTCCCACAAGGAGGAAATTTGATAAAATGTCTTAAAAGTGAGGAAAGTAACATAGTGAATGCATTCCTGTGAGTTCCTGGCAACCTGGAGCAGCAGACTGAGGATAGACAGTTAATGGCAGTAAACCAGCACAGCAAGATTTACAAGAGCGGTCACCTCTCCGAGCCTTGGCACTGCTTTAAGTATGTGGGTTTCTGGTTACTTTCTGGTTACCTTCCTTCTCCTCCTTCAGACAGGAGGAGAGACAAGAAGAAAGCAATGAGCTTTTGGAGCTGTGCAAAATAACAGCACCTTCACTACATGGCATCTCCCCACACAGAAATATTCTAACGACAGGCTGGAGAACAGCACTTCAGAAAGACTTCAAACCAGGTGAAGCCTTGCAAAAGAATTCTTCAAAATGAACAGATATACCCAATGAAATTAAAAGCAAGTGAAACTCCAGAAGATACTACCAAATGCTTTATTACAGTATGCGAACAGCAGCCAATCTTCTTGGTCCCACAAGCCACAAAGGAAGATCTTCATATGACCAAGAGCAAAAATGCCTTTTATTTCAGAAGCAGAGAGGTCTGGGAATGTCTTGCTCAGCCTAGGCAATCTCTTTTGAGTTATGTTCTCCCGCACCCGGACATTCAGATCACTCAAGCGTCCCTAGCTCCTCCTACCACTTGTGACAATAGGTTGCAATTTCGATCTTTAAGTGTTGTGTGCAACTCAAAAGCCAGGGGAAGGCACTAGCAAAATCAGGACAACCTGTGCAACACTATTGCTACTTTTCGGGTTACCTTCATTAATTTTAAGTTACTAACAAGCATGTTTTTGTTTAATATTCTAGCTGTTATCAGAATTTAGACTAGTTTTCTCCTCTCCAAACAACAAACGTCATTTGGTCTAGAAGAGACAGATCCGACAGCCTCGATATTCTAACAATAAAATGAATGCAAAAACTAATAAACCTATAGAACAGTGCAGTATTTGACAGCAACAATATCCACTGATAAATGGAGTTTGTTAATATGAAAACTAATCATATACAGCGATAAAGCTACATGTATGGTAGCCATGCATTTTGCAGGTTTAAAATCAGCTTGAAACTTGTACATGATTCATTGACCAACCTTAAGGAAAACCTCATTGCATAGGACAAGCCATATACCAAATGGTAAGGCCAGTGCCCTAATCTGCTGCCTGTGAAATATGTCAAGATCAGCAGGAGCCTCAGAAAACAAACTTTCAGGCAGAAGCAATCAGCTTAAGGGAGCTAACAGGGCAAGAGGAGCCAGGAAGCAAAACCTCTTGTTACAAGCACTGTTAGAGCTTGCATGCAGGGTGCTACCTTATATAACACTGACTCATGTGCAAACACAAGAAAATCTTCACTGCAGACTTAGAAAAAACCTAGTAACTTTCATCATTTTAATGAACTTTTTACCAAAGATACTGTAACTTATATAAAAAGGAGAATAATCAATTATAATATTGTTTTATAACATGCACTACTCACCAACCAAGTTTCATGGAAACTGATGGTATACGATGTGCAGGTAAGGTCTGTACTATGACTGCAAGAATTCATTGTGTTTTACATATTTAAATGCCAGTTTCCATCTTGGGGGGGGGGGCAGGGAAGAAAAAATAAATATATACACAATATATATATGTGTGTATATTTGAATTCCCTGGAAAGTTTTTAAATGAAAAATAAAAGAAGTCTTTAGGCAAAGTGTCAAATCTGAAGAGCTTTCGAACATGCAAACTGTTTCATCCAGAAATTAACCTAGACCGTCATAAAAGTGTTGGAGCTCTTTGTACTCTAATTCTATTCATTAACTGAAAACCCTCTAACCTGAAAGCTTAACAAGAGTTTAACAATTAAGGTAACTCTATAGAGTGACTTCATTTAGAACAGGTCCTGAAAAGTACGCAATTAGTCAGCACTTCTAGGAGGCACTTAAAATTCCTTCTTGGGTTGAAGAACACATCTACAAGTGAGAGAAGTCAGTTCATTTTGATAGCAGTGCTTAACAAGAATGCTAAGCAAGTTTTTCTAAAAGGCTATTTGGAGCGTGAGGGGAATGTAATTGTGATAATAGAGTCTTTTCCCATAGAGATCTAAGGCTATTTTAATTAATAACCTCCTCCCCCTGCCCCAACCAAACAAAAAAAAAAAACACTCCCCACCAAACAACAACAAGACTCCACCAAACAAAAAACTACCCCCCACGCAGAGCTTTACGGATTTACAATGTATATAGAAAGCTTTACTACTTCCTTGATTTTAAGTGAGCAATTTCTAAACTCACTGCTCCTATGCACATGTTGATCTGCTTCCTGCTTTTCCCTGGAAAAAGTTGGAAAGACAGAAGGCTGAAAGACTGAAACGCTGGTAAAACACTGGGTTTGACCTCTATGGAACACTGCCACAGAAATGCATCACTCATTACAGGATATTTGTGTTTGCTTAAATCATTTTTAAGTTTTATTTCACTGTAGTCATGCCCATGTTTTTAGCAACATAGATATGCCTAATAAATATACAGATGCACACTCGCACAAGACGCATGAGCACACTTCAGCTTTAAGTACGTTAAGTATCCTACTTTAGATAACTTTAATGACAAAAAAAGCTCTAATGAATATTGGAGTTTGTGGATAGTTACGATCTGAGTGTTAAATTTACTGCTACATCACTTCCTATGAATTGCAAGAGCATATAGATTTGTATCTGAAATAATCATCATCTGCAGACAAAGACAGACTAGACTCCAGGAAAAGGAGATGAGTTTTCATTTTAAGGTTTGGATTTTTCTGACTCTTCTTAGACCCCTTCCTACCACTGTCTGCCAGAGAACACTATGAAACCCAAATATATTTACACAGAAAAAAAAACATTGGCAAGAGGCACACAAGAAAAGGTTTGGGATTTAAAAAAAAAAAAAAAAAAAAAAACACTTATATCTCTGTGCTGATGCCATCTTGCCACCTATACTTCAAGCTTTGGAGAAAGTTCTGAAATGTAAACAGATTTATTAACAACACTGAAGTCTTCTACCATAAAATTGCATACAAAAGTTGCTACTTTCACAACAAGACAGAAAGCAGATATATTACTGTATTAGTTTCATCCCTTCCTGAAACATGCTCTATATTTAACAACTGAAAAATTATCTCTAGGAAGATTTAGAAAAAAGTATCTTTCAATCAAGTTTTTTTTGCAGCAAAAATATACATATATTTTACTCCCACTGCTCTAATTGATCATCAGAACAGAAAGAGTTACGAGTAGACTTTACCTTTGGTCTTTGAACTATTCCACTTTATTTTTTTTGCATTTTCTTCTTCATGCAAGCATTATGAAAAACTGTAAGCATCTGCACATTACTATGTCTGTTCAGAAAATAGAAACACTCTTCCCTAACTAAACAGAATTAGTGTCTCTCTGGTTACAAGCCAAAACGAAGGCATTTTGACTGTCTTTCTCCTTTCTTTTCTAGCTCTGTTTTAGAGTGGGATGGGTTCAAATTATAGCTTTTCTTGTATCCTTACATGGTTTTAGAATTTAATAAATATAAACCAAAACCAATGATAACAGTTTCAAGTAGTTAGGAAATGGAAAAAGACCAAGTCCATCCTCTTGCTATTTCCAAAATTGTCAATAAATGTCATTTTTCTTGTATATTGTCAAAGCCTTCTTGAAGCTGTGGAAGAAAACACTGATTTACAATATTTCTAGGAAGTTCAGGGAGGAAGCCATGTTTTATAAAGGACATTCTTCTCTTTGGGAAAAGATTCCAACACCCAAGTTCAACAAATTACAATATAAAGAAAAAATATTAGGGTAGTAAAAAAAAATCCAAACCATTAGGAGTGGAAAAAAAGCTTAACTGGGCAGCACAATAGGTTCATTGACTTCCTTGCTCATGAAGAAAAGTAAGTAAGTTCTATACTACAGATAAAGTACCAGACAATTCTATACAGCATAAAAGGAACTGATCCCCTCAAAGTGGAAGGCGAATGGTATATCCTTTATCAGAGACGTCTACATATTGGGTGAACTCATGCTAGCCATTCAATAATATCAAATCACAATTGAATTTAGTACTTCTGGCAGCCACAGTGAGTCCTAGGAACGGACTAAAAAAGAGATTACTCAAAGTGAGTTACAAAGACTGAAGTAGGAGCTGGAAAGAATTAAATCCATTCTAGATCTGGTTAATTCTAAAGATGGAACATCAAAAAAGGAGAGACAGGAGAAAAAAAAAAAATCACACACAGTCCTCACAGGTGGACAGCAGAGTCCTTCAGTATGTTTTCTAATTAACTGCTAATACATGTCTCGCCATCAACATCACGCTCTGGTTTCTCACAGTTATGATGCTACTGAAGTAAAGCATAAACATCAACAGTAAACAAGGCCCCACCAACTTCACACACTCAACATAGCAGTGAGGGACAAGCTTGGTCAGCAGCAGGTAATGGTCTTTCAAGCAGGCTATGCCCATTTTCAAATTTGTTATCTCCGGCTCTGCATCGTTTTCTCCCATACATTTTTGCATGTCTGATAATTCCAGATTGTTTACAAATCAAAAAGAAAAATCTGAAGTGTAAATTATTTTCAAAACACACTCAAAGAAAAGGAAATAATGCAAAACAATTTAAGATACCTTTTATAACACTATAATTAATTATTTAGAATCATTTAACAAACAAGCAGCAGAGATTTTGGTACTTAAACAAACAAAAAAGTAATTTGCAAAGACTTACCCTCTTGCAGGATCTAAGGCAATTGCTCTGGGTTGATCCAATTCTTGCCAAAATAAAACTTTTCTCAGTGATCCATCTAAATTAGAAACTTCAATCCGATTTGTTTCAGAATCTGTCCAGTATAATTTCTCTCCCAGCCAGTCACACGCCAGCCCATCAGGTGACAAGAGCCCAGAAACTACCACATTTTGTACGCTCCCAGATTTATTGAACTCTGTTCGCTTAATGGCCTCTTCGCTTACATCACTCCAGTAGATCAAGCCCTGCGCGAACATGAAGTCCACTGCCGCCGCATCCTCCAAGCCGCCCACGACAACGGTCGCGTTCTCCCTGCCGTTCGTGGCGTCCACCAGGCGCAGATCGCGGCGGTTCGCATACAGCAGCAGCGGGGCGCCTTTAAAGGGGAGAAATCAGGGGTGGGGGTTAGACGGAGACATTAACACCGCGCCAATCAAGCACAACTTAGGGGCTGCCACAACACGACTGTGCAACTACTAAACTAAGAAATCAAAGAAAAGGGGGGTATTTTGAAGTTTGACTGAAAGCCTTTAAGTGAGTGCTTTTCAACAGCGCTACAACTGAAGATGGTAACTTTGTAATGGGCAGCTCATTATTCTGGGCTGTGCATTATTAAAATAAGATTAAAAGGAAAAGGAAGAGAACAAAGAAAACAGAGGTTTGAAGGGCTCAAATGACTCTTTTCTGTATGCTTAAATAAGAGTCTGAAAGATGAAGGTAAAGCAGCTTTCTAAGCCTTCAGCGTTGGCCATCAGTGCAATGGTTTTTTGTTAGAATATAGTAATAAATGCCCAACAAACCTTCATAAAAACGTAATTCACATGAGGCTGCAAGAGACATTCTTGTATTGTTACTCTTTAAAGTCATACATCCTAGATATTTTTTATATAAAGCAAGAAAACACAAAATGCTCTACACAGCCCAAGATAAACAATATTTTATAAAGCATCACTATGAAGAGGTGGAGAAAAGGATAAAAGTACAAAGCTGGACAATGCGTTCTTTGAAACTCCCCCACTCTTGTGTTTAGCTCCCTAATGCAAAGCCTTTACGTTCACAGTCTTAGTCTGCTTTATCAATTTGCACACGCTGCAGTTTTCATATATAACATATATGAAGACTCACTCAATAAGATGACTAATATTAACCCTGAAAATACACCTTTAAAAATGTAATGTGCCTGTTAAACTCGCCTTAACTACCAGCAAGGTATAAGATCCTGAAAATTCCAGCCATGTTTCTACTTCAAAAAAGCGCGCGTGTGTGAGGGGTGGGTGGTTGTTTGTTTTTAAAAAGGAGAAAAAAAAAATCCATTTAAAAATCACTGTCAAAACACATGCCTGTCTCTCACTGTGATTACATGGACACTACCGTGGTAAAGCCTAACAGCAGCATCTAGACACACATTGCGACTGGCATGCCAAACGCTCACGTACCTATCACCACAGCAATTTAATAAAAGACTTCCAAATTTATTCACCACTACAGGTGGACTACAGGACATCCACTACAGGAGGGAGGCATGTCCTAACAGAAAGGTCCACATTTAGAGAACCAATAGGCTTTGCTGACAGAAAAGATACAGTTCTTATATGGGGGATTCGTAATGAAATTAAAAATACCATTGCACAATAAATACACACATTTTTTTAAAAAAAAAAATCACAATTCTGAGATCAGACTACTACCCTACTTACTGGAAAGCTATTCAAAGACACTGCTGCATGCATACTAGGAAGCGCCAAAGACGTTACATACTCCTTAACCTACCTGCAGCTAAACAAGTGCTGCTATATGTGCTTGGAAGCCTTTCCCCTTGCCTTGGAAAATTAAACTGTTTAGCTTGCCTACTTTTAGAAACTCTAAATGTAAAGTGATCTATGATGATCATCTGACTTTCCATAGAAAGTTACCTTAGTAATTTAGGGGGCACGGGACATGGAGGGAGAGGGGACACATTGTTGCATTAAATTTATATCCTTAATGTGTAGAAAATTCTTGACTGTGCAAAAAACATCAGTTTAGAGAACCTATTTCCACAGAGAAGCAGTAGACCTCTAAATTATAGAGCAGGATCCTTTCATTAAATGGGTTTATTATCTTACTTTTTTAATGCCTTGCCTAACTTCCCACCTCCTAAAGACTTAGGACATAGCACAGTAGAATTTCTTTAACTACATGTTGCTTAAAAAGAATGCGCATGTGGAGAAGAGAAGAAATCAGTAAGTTAAAGCAGTGTATATACATTAACCGCCCCCCCACAGATATGTAAGGTAACTGCCTCCTTTCAAAAACCCCCCATACAAGCGTAACCTGAAAAAGGCACCTACTAGCCACCTCAGTGTCACTGAGTGCAGCACAGGAAAGCGTGCAGCCATCTGGTAGAGCTCTCTCCAACAAGACAGCAAGCCCTGCATTAGGAACAAGGTAAGTGCAGGCACAGATGCGCGCTGCGTTATTACGTACAACATGCGGCCGAGCGCACCAGGATCTGCAGCACACGCCTGATGGGAACACCCAGCACATCGAGCGTCACCCCTGAGCGCGTGGACACTGCCAAGCCCAACACGAGCACCTTGCACAGGTTGTTCACTCGCACCAGAGCTCGCACCTAACTGTAGAAAACATCCACCTCTAAGTGGTACGGGTCTTCAGCGGTGGCTTGGACACAGCCCAGCGAGGATGCAGCTGTGCGCAGACGCGTTCAGAGCCGCGGCTCACGGCACATTCGCGGGCCTGGTGGACGAGGACGTGAAGCTCTCCAATTTGTTGCGACATTCAGGAACCAAGCACGCAGCACCAAAATAATAAAAAACAGGTTTGTTCCCTTACCCTTTCCAACTGTTTCCAGAAATCACAAAGGCTTTAATAGCCAATGAAGCCAAATGACTGAAGCCAGCAGCACTGTTATCAAGTATCGTCTTTGCCACTTGCTTGAATCAAACAGAAGCATCCTTTTCCAAAAGGAAAATTGTTGCGGAAGACTGAGATACGTAGGACCCAAAATCCAAAGGACCTGAAAAGAATGGCTCTCAAATAACATCATGCACCACTCTAACCACCTGCAGGAAGGTATCCCAAAGACACTCCTTCAAAGCTAAGCACCTGTTTCACTTGAATTTCTGATAGGACCAGGAGATGCAGCCTTTTCCTCCCTTTTATGAAGCCAAAGCAGATCTCTCTACACTATCTCTATTCTCTTATATTTCTGTAGAGATCACAAACAATAACAACTGCATCAAACCATAACACACTGAAAAGTATATCTACACTTTGAAAAATAAAAGAAAAATGCCTGTCTTTAGCAGAAAAAAAAACCCCGAAATTATGAAACCCATAATGCATGTTCAAATATGCAGTTTATTCTTCCAATTACAAAGAGCTCAACTCAGATTAAGAGCTATGTTTAGCTATAAAAGTGTTTTCATTGTTCACATCAGCCAACAAGAATGTTTCCTTTGCAAACATAAGCAACAAGAAAAAAATTAAACATACTTCAACCACAAAAGTCTGTTGTTCGAGTCACAGAGCTTCCGTCACTGAACCCGCTTTTTAATGTAGCTAATCACATAGTGCTTTCCATATTCATATTGAGTCCTATCAGACTCAAAATTCAACCTTCGCCTTTTTGACCTACCTCTGCCTCTAGAGCTGCAAATCAAAATCTCACTCCTTACCACCTAATTTTACATCTTATACCAAGATACTGCTCTTAGCTAAAATCTTTTCTAATCTTTTTTCTTAGCTAAAAATCGTCTCCCTCCCCAGTACTGAAACATGCTAATCCCAAAGACAAGCAAGTCTTGCTTCCTTAAAACTTTAGTTTAGTCTCTTTTTGTACATCTTATTTGTAAACATCTAATACTAGATTTAAAAGGTTGCAGCCACGGGATTAAAAGGGATGATCCAACATAAAGAATAAAATCATTTCACCAGAACTAGAATAAAAAGAAAAGTTGAAAAATTAAAAGGCATCTTTAAACTGGCAGAATTTATCACACCCTTTTTGTAATGAGACTATCACAACCAGAGGCTTTTCCCACAAACTTGGTCCCTTCCACTTTCTGTGACACCTTTGGGTGCCATGAGGTCAGCGCTACCTACAACAGGCACTTACTTTTTTTCTTTTTCTTTCGCCTCCGTCTCTCAGACTCCCCTCCCCCACTCTTCTCTCCACTGAGCAGGAATTCAGACTGGTTGAGGCAATTCAGCATCTTTCCATTTTTTCCCCTCCCTTTTATCTTATTTCCAAACCCCGGCAGGGCAGTTCTACCCTTTGCTTAGTTAAGGGCCATTCCTCAAGCTGATTTGAAATCACTGCATCAGTGAAAGGTTCAACGGGGTTAGCGAGTCAAAGTCAAGAACGAGTCCAGCAAACTCCAAAACCAACATGAGGTGATCAGCAGGGAGCTGGAAAGGGGCAGCTCTCCCCCTTTTGCTGGCAGCCTGTTGGATCTGCTCAAGAAGCAACTGGAGCCACACACTGCTTTCTCCCCGGCTCCACCTTCAGCTGCACGTTCCTGACCTCTACTTTGCATGAGTGCTTGCTTGACACCACAGTGAGACAGTGCAGACAGCTACATTAGCAGAAAAAGAAGAAAGAAGAGAAAAGAAAAGTAGCTTTCAGCCAAACATCACCTAGAACCAGTTCATCACAACACAAGCAGTGATACACCAAGCAAAGGCAAGAAACAGTGGCTTGCTAACCTCTAATGGAGGAACAGGAGCCACGAGAACAGAGGTGGCCAACCTCATTTGTGCCAACATCTCCCAGTGTGGTCCAGCCACTAACATGGGGCCCAAGTGCTAAAAGTGACATCCTTGCGAAAGCCCATTCCACAAAACCCAGAGTCTGTTAAACTGGAAGACCACAGGCAGGTATTCACCAAGCTACAAACTCCCCCACTTTTCATCTGCTCATGAAGAACCTGGAGCAGCCAAAGGTGATTCAATATTGCCAAGTTCCCAACTATGCAGCAAACACAAGAACTAAAAAAGAGAAGATGCAGCACTGAAAACACGACACACCAACCTAGATAAGGCTCCATCAGTGCAAGGGATTTGCAAAATGCCTTGGTGGGGTAACATGCACCTACATCCAGCCCCCAAGGTAAGGAGGACAGGTGAACAGGGATAGATGAACCAAAAAAAAAAAAAAAAAGACCATTAATTATAAAATTATAACCTCTGCACACCTGTTCTTTACAGAAAAACCTTTTATATCCCACAGCCCACAGAAAGCCTGCACAAGAACATAGCAGGGAGCAGGGGGGACCAACACACCACTATCAGC